CCCAAGGTTTTCTTCCCGGTTCCCGCACCCCCCCCCCCCCCCCTCACATAAAATAATTTGCAGTATTCTAATTTATTAATGTAATTATATTAGTTGTAATGCCTCCCCCACGCCACTAGAGGCAGTACCAACCCCGAAAAGATGTGACTAAGGAGCAGATTTAGAAGTACACCGAAAGCTACAGAATTTGGTAAAAACTGAGCTTTACTGAAGTAATTAAAGACACAAGTTCAAATCCATGCTGAGAGTGGAGCTCCTTCCCGCTGCTCTGATTGGCTCAGCAATGTAACGTGATCCTCTGGAGCAAGTGACGGCAAAGCGGGGCGTCATCACGACTTTACACAGGTGTGTCTTTACCTCCGCGGCAGAGGCTCCGCCGAACCCCTGAGACCGATTCATCGAACCCAGGTTAAGAACCACTGGTCTAGAGCTAGGAGAAATAGCTTGAGGTCATTTACCAAAGACCAAAGAGAAATCACACAACCGCTAAAATCTGAAATTACTCTTTTTGTTTACATTTTGTGACGAAGAATGTTGTGCTCTTCTTCAGAGGTTTTGTGTCGTTTCCTTCAGTGATTCTTGGTGCAGCGCCCCAACAGGTGAGGAGGGGAAAGATGTTTTTCCAAAGAGTTCAGTTCATTTGACACACTGCAGTGTGAATGCAAACCACACCAGCTGAATATGTAACAAATGTTGCAGAATGCAGCTGTTCTGTGGTGACCTTAAAAATGAGAGATCATTGGGAATAAGAAGCATCATGAAGTCGCACCAGACAGGTCAGGGATTAAGTTTTAGTTAGATTATAGAACAATATCCCAAGCTTTGAACATTACAGAGTAATGTTTAATCCTTAATCCATCACCTCAAAATGAACAGAGTGACACGACTGCAAACCTACTAAAACATGACCATCTACCTAAACAAACAGGCTGATAAAGGAAAACATTACACTTAGAAGAAGCCAAGAGAACCACACATCAGGTGGAACAATTTTTAAAAATATAACACTAAGGCAAAGCACCATACCTGTGCTGGTATGGTGGGAACATCATGCTGTGGAAATGTTTTTCTTCGGCAGGAGACACAATTCTAAGAGTAAAATCGGTAAAACCCAGCAGAACATCTGAGTTTTGGAGCACCCCTTAACCTTTTAGCAGGACAACAATCCCAAACATTCAACCAGAGTTACAATAGAACGACTTAGAGGTACATTCATGTGTTATAATGACCCAAAGTCCACATCTAAATCCAGTAAAAACCATTCAATCTGACTGAGCTTAAGCTCTTTTGACAAGAATAGTGGGGAAAATTCATTCTCCAGTGAAAAACAGGCTAAGACATCCCTCAAAAGACCTGTGGCTGCAACAAAAGGTGGTTCTGTGTCCCTCAGGGGGGTGAAACTGAATGGACAAATCACTTTTCAGAGTTTTATTTGCTAAAAAAACATTTACTTCATTCTTGTGCACAATACTCTGTTGGTCTAAAATCCTGATAAGTTTGGGGTGTTAATGTGACAAACTCTGGTGGTGGTCAAAGATTATGAATACTTTTGCAAGGATTAGATTTCTCTTTAGCATTAAGTTCTGAGTAATTTAGAGATGCGTTCTGTGCTCCAACATGCCTGAAATGAAGTCCATTAAGCGGGTAATGACGCTGCGTCCCCTGTGGCTCGCCTCCGTTCTCTTCCAGCTGTATCTGGGCGTGGTGCTGGCTGCCGTGGTGATCATCACCGGGTGCTTCTCCTACTTCCAAGAGGCCAAGAGCTCTCGCATCATGGACTCGTTCAAGAAAATGGTGCCACAGGTACGGTGATGCATTAGGTGGCTGGTGTAGTCTCAGAGCTTTCTGAATCAATAAGCTATCCCTCAAGTAGGGCTTACAGACTCACTTGAGTGGAAACCTAATAAGCTTGCACAAAGGAAAATAAATGTTTGAGCCAACTCTGGATTGTGAGTGTGTTTGCATAAAAACTCCCCTCTCGTTATCCACCTCCAGCTCTTCGATTGCCTAATTCTTTAATCTATTTATGCTCTTTTCCATCCCTTTCCTTTGCCTCTTTCCCTTACCTATCTTTTCCGTCTTCCTCCTTTTCTTCCATATCAGCTTTTAATATACTACTACCCCCTCTGGCAGCTCTTTTTTTAAACATCTCTCTCCTCATCTTACTAAATCCTCTCTCTGTGCGAGATTCCCTGTCTCCTCCTGACAGTTTTTCTTCGTCTTTATCTTCATGCCAGCAAGCGATGGTTATTCGCGAGGGGGAGAAGTTGCAGATCAACGCAGAACTTGTTGTCTTGGGAGACCTGGTGGAGGTTAAAGGTGGAGACCGGGTTCCTGCTGACCTTCGGGTGATCTCTTCTAGTGGATGTAAGGTATTGGACTGAAGGTCAGGTCTCACAGGTAGTCCTAGTGGTGCGATGGTGTCATTAAACTTAAACTGGGTCTGTTGTTTAAGGTTTAATTTGAGAAACTCCAAGGTTTGATGGTTTAAGTTGAGTGGATGTTTTAACATCTTTAGTCAGGGAGCAGTTTGACCATCTCATAGTTTGATAACCTTGAGTATAAGGATAATACAACCCAAATCCGCTTTCTTTTAATCTACATGTGATCTATGTCTGACTTTTTCAAGGCAGTCTGTGAACGGTCTAATTTCAATCTTTTCACTCCTCAATAAGTCCGATCTGTGCCACCTCCATATGTGGTGCTAATTCAGATACGTATCCGATTGTTTTCAAAACGTCTGAAGTTATATTTTACCTGACTTTTATTTCATTGATAAGAGAAATGTCATAATTGTCCAGAGGTAAGATGTGGAAAATCAGGACTTAAATAGTGGATAAAAATTATGATTATGAACTTAAGAGAGAATCTGTGTCACTAAACGCTCAAATCAAAGTCAGACATTTCTTGCTCTGACTAACAAACAAAACGTCTACAGAAGTTACAGTCAATGCTCCACCAAAAGCCGTTGCTTTTAGTTTTAAGTTCTTTTTATTAGCTTTCTTCATCTTATCATTTAACAACACTGTTGCTGGATAAACATTAAAATCAATTCACAAACGCTTCCATCATAAACAGAGCGCTGCTCTGTGACGTCATCGTTCTTCTTCCTCACATTCAGGTCGCGCTGGACTTGTGAACTGTTCACACTGAAGCCTCATTGTGGTTAAGTTTAATTAGCAGAATGAACGACCACACACAAAACATCAATTTCAACAAAAAATTGGAATTGGACATAAAATTTTATAAGTGATATGGACTTATATGCAGAAATTTCACCTTTCCAGAAGGCCTTCACCGTGACAACTTAGCTGAAGTAATCTATCTGACCCCGCGGACGATGTTTTGTTCTGCTAGTTTACAAATCAATAAGCTTTTGAAATGATTGCATCCTTGTTTTTTCTCTCCTTAATATTTACATGCTGGCAACCTTGAGCACAAATTACCTTTGGGCAGTGATGTATGTTATCTGGTGTTTTAAAAAGCCTTTCTACTGAGCACTTGAGAAAAAAAGGGTATAAAAGAAATAATGTAACGTATTTTTGCTTGGATTTAATAATTTGCCAACAACACAGTGATTGTGGCCTAATGATGATACAAGAGGAATCGTATTTGGGTCAAGCATTGTCTCAAAAGACCCTTTCCTTGGACGAAAGATCATAAAGAAACAAAAAGAAAAAAGGATTTTAAAATCTAACTGATGATAAACCAGATGGTTTATCCAATTAGCTCTTCACCTGCTGCTGTTTTCTTAAAAGTCAGATATTTTCCAAACGTTATTCTTTGAAGATATTTAAGGAAAACATCTGGAATTTCAGTTATAAGCTCAGAGTAACTAATTAGGAAGGGAAAAATGTGTCACGTCAGTTATGCAAGAGCTTAAGGTATTATGATTTGATACAGTTTACTCTAAAGGATAATTGATTTCTTCCATTCAGTTCAATTCAAAACTGATGTACTTGTCATAGTCATGGGCTGGAAGGATCTCCAGTAGCTGTCAGTCTTGCAACACATCTGAAGAGGCCTCTGACTGAAGACTGTTGCTGTATGACAGTGTCAGGACTGTCATACAGCAACAGTATGACAAAATATGCTAACAGCTCAATTTATGGCCCACAGAGATGACATTTCACAATAACAGTTCCTGGATGACACCTAATCCACCTCATTTGCTTTTGCTGCTCCTCTTTAAACCTCTGTTGGGTCATTTGATTAGAAAACTGAGAGCTGTTTGAGTCGGGGATATGATCCCGGCTCATTGTGATTGGTGGAAAAGATGGTTGAACTTCGTTCCCTCTCTGCTCTCGGGTCCTGCTCTGCACCTTTGGTTTTTTGTACCCTTGCAGGTTTTTGGTACCTGACATGTATCTGTTTTTGCCTTCTTTTGGGACGTTTCATACTGGCTTTGACAACCAAAGACATTTTTCTGATTTTCTCTTTGATTAATCAAAGAGAAAAGTAAAATGGAAATATGATGTATGATAAAAATTTGGAAAATAATGTATGGTTGATTTTTTTTTTAAAATCTGATCTTTTTTCTCAGTAATTTATCAAAATATTTCACACACTTCTAGCCAAATGTTATTGCATGGGTAAAAATGGTACTAACAGGTATAACATAGAAGTAGCTATGGAAGAAATAGCAATGCGTCACCAGTTATTTCTTTCAAATAGTAGCAACTTAAACATTTATGACTTTTTAGCTACATTTTATTTACCTTTAAGAAAAATCTTTAAAAATATGTCAGGAATGAAAAAGGCTTCAGTTCAGTATCCTAGTTATTTCAAGACAAAAGAAATGTAAATAACTTTACAAAGTTAGTTCACAAACTAAAGTCATGGCATTATTATTTTGTTTTGTTACCATGGAGACATTTTCTATATTTTTGCTTTGCATTTGTAAACAGCTTTAACAAGAAACAGATACAACATAAACTTTTTCGCAAACTGATTTTGACACTTCCTCAGCATCTTTACTGCAAATGATTCCCACGCTCTGCTGAGAATATTAGTAGTTTTATTAGTTTCTCTCATATTTGATCATAAACCAAAAGTCTGGCTGTAAATCCAGTAACATGAAAATTATAGGAGTCAAAAATTTTATGATGATCTGCTGAAACACTGTCATTAGATTATTAATATTCATTTTGATTCTCAAATGGAGATTTCTTAAGTAGGTCTTCTAACTTTTATCCCATCGATGATCTATAGTTTTACAGACAGACGGGGTTTTTTTTTATTTTCATTATCCCAAAGCTACTTTTAGCCACCGTTTTTCCATTCTGAAGTTCTGATCTTTTTATTTGCTAAACTGGGTTAAATCCAAAGGACACAATCCACTCTCATCTGTGAGGCACTTTTGAGTTTCTCTTTAGAAATATCACAATAAAAATGTTTCTTTACTCTAATATTTTTTTTTCTTTGAAATGTTTTTTTTTTTTTTTTTATATCAATCAGTATATTGATCTACGACCTTCTGTTTGACCAGAATATAAATAGGATATAATTTAGGGGTTTATGTCTCTTAGTTGCCCCTTAAACATGGAGGAAACGTCAAAACATAACAGAACAGATGTGTGTTCAAAAAACAAAAAATGTTTCCTTATTAAATTAGCAGTTTAGACAGAAATCTGTGGTCAGTAATAATAACTGCAACTATTGTAAAAAAATAAAAACTGGGATTGGACCCAGTTTATCTAGGCAGCACACAGAGAGGAGAGGAGATTAAAGAAGGTGGGAAAAAAAGTAAATTTGGGTAACATCAATATAATTTAATAAAATGTTTCCATACAGATATTTACCTATAACTAGAGAGGATGATGAACAGTGTATCACTGATCAAAATGTTAACATTAAATTGCAGAAAGTTAGTGCTACAAACTTTCTTCAGATCTGAAATTAAGTTGACTAAAAGTCACAGAGATTTGTCATATCATAGGTGATGATTTAAAAATGATGCCTTCTGATCGCCTATCCAGTAATTCACTCCACCTTTATCTCCTTTGAGTACGTCGGTGTCACTGGATAACATTTCTCCATCTTTCCTCTTTTTTCCTGTAAAGGTGGACAACTCGTCTCTGACGGGAGAATCTGAACCTCAGACTCGCTCCCCTGAGTTAACGCATGAAAATCCTCTGGAGACCCGAAACATCTGTTTCTTTTCCACCAACTGTGTCGAGGGTCAGTAGGCCAAATCCAACCAAGATTGCCTCTTATCTCCTCAAAATGCCTGACTTCAAACCATTTGGTGCAAAACATCGTTAGGACTTTCTATCCAACCATGAATATGTTTCAGTGCAATAATGATCTAGGCCACCATTCCTCCATGTGTGCATCCTACACAAGAGTGAAGAATCTGATATTTATTGCAAAAGGATTGGCAGTGAGGCTTATGTTAAAAATTAACCTCTAACTGAAATGCTTGTGAATGTCAGATCCCTCTAAATTTATCCCATTCATCTCTGCAGCAGATTTTACAGGTGAAATCATAAAAGTGTTTCACCTTGTTGGGTTTGGAAGATGGTTGTAAAATAAAAAAAAGTAAAAAATCATGTTGTAATAATACACAGAAAAACGATGTGGCATATTGAAAGTTTTCTCTGAAATACTTAAACATTAATAGATATGAAAATGTTTTGGTCAGAATAGAAAGATGTTCTTCACTTTGTCCTTTAAGAACAATGTAATTGTGAGACATGCATATTTTAAAAATCCCTCAAAACTAAACAAATTTTGACTTAAAGTCCAGTCTGGTTGGATACCTTCACTCACTCTGTAACTTCACTTTTCATAAACATTAAGGATAAATTAGCCTAGCATGCTGACTGCCTAACATCAGCCGCCAGAGCATCACTCTGTTCAAACGTTAAAATGTCTGAGTAATCAACACATAATTTAATGTTTAGCAGTCTTGTCAATTTGCATTAATTATTTTAAGAAAACAGATAAATAGATGCTGCAGATAAATAGTGAAGAATTAGTTATTTTCCTGGATTATTTATTTTCTGCTGCAGTCATGTTTAGTGTATAGTTTTTATTCAAAACCAATAAGAAGGGAGGACTAAATTAATTTATTCTTTTACTTTTGGTCTATGGTGCAATTACTGTGAATTCTTGAATGAATATGGAGTTAATTGAAGCTTTTTAAATGATTTTAAATATGCTCTAAATGTAATTGTTGGCTTATTAAAGTTTGAGAACAGAAAAAGGAACTAATCAATTTCTGATGCTGATTTTGCCCTTTCATCTTTTTGTACCTCTGTGGTTTCAGACGTTTTGTACCGCCCACAGAAACATTGCATCAGGATAATCAATGACAATCACTTCAGCTGTCAGTGATTATAATGCCGTGGTGGATAGGTACAAGCTGGCTGGATGGATGCTTTCCTCAAACACTTAGTTCAGCATCTGTGTAGTTGGCCAGTCATCATTCTGCAGCAGGCACCTATAATTCACCTCCATCTATCAGAGCTCTGCATTCAGCCATCATCTTCAACATCAGGCCTCCTTCACGTTCACAATATACATTATTTACCTTCTGTCATGACTTCCTCACTATGAAAACTCATTATTCCCTTTTCGTGTTCCTCACACAGACACTTCAGATCAGGCCACCTGTCTGAAAGCTGCTTCTGACACTTTATGAGTTTACTTTAGAGAGCTGCCATTACAAAGAAAAATATGTTGATAAAAATATTTCAATTCCAATTGAAATACTTACAGATTTGATCAGTTATTTCAGGCTTCCCTCTTTATTTTGATGTGAAGTTATAGATTACTTATCAACTTTTAGTGTAAAACTAACTCAGAGCTCCTACCTCCCATCAGGCACAGCTATTGGCATCGTGATAGCCACTGGTGACCGGACTGTGATGGGCCGCATCGCCACCCTGGCGTCTGAACTGGAGGTGCGCCAGACGCCCATCAGCATCGAAATTGAACATTTCATCCACATCATCACCGGTGTGGCCGTCTTCCTGGGCATGAGCTTCTTCATCCTGTCGCTCATCCTGGGCTACACCTGGCTGGAGGCCGTCATCTTCCTCATCGGCATCATAGTGGCCAACGTGCCTGAAGGCCTGCTGGCCACAGTCACGGTGAGGAGGGCAGAAGGTTCGCTTTGTTCGCTTTACTGGGAGTGGAGAAGTTTTCTGATTAGAGGAGTTTATTCTGAACAAACACACTTTATTCTAGAACAGAGGTGGCCAAACCTTTTGCCCTGGAGGCCAAAACTGGAAAACTGGTGATTTTTTCCCCCCACTGGCTAAACAACACATTAAATAATAATAAAAAAAATATTTACATCAAAAAAGATCCAAAACATAAGAAAGACTTTGGGCTGTTACCTTATTAACAAAAACAGACAATTTCCATATTTTTTGGGTCATCAATTGTTTTCTTGTTGGCCAAAATTTTTACCATTTTTGACATGTGGTCTGGGACCAAACAGAATCATTTCAAGGGCCAGAGATGGCCCCCAAGCCACACTTAGGACACCACTGTTCTACACTGCAAAAACACAAAATCTCACCAAGTATTTTTGTCTAGTTTCTAGTGCAAATATCTCAGAACACTTGAAATAAGACAAACAAAAAATTAAATAACTTTTGAGCAAGATATAGTTAATTGTTTTAAGTAAATAATTCCTGAATTCAGATTAAAAACATAAAAAAACTGTTCTACATAAATAATGAGACATTTTTCCTGTTTTAAGTAAGAAAAAAATCTCAGTGGAACTATTAGTGTTTGCATCTACATCCAAGCATTATTAACTTAAAACAAACTTATTAAACTGGCTGAAAAGTTACATTTAAATATAATTTTTCTTAATTCAAATGTGCCAAAATATTTACACTAAAAAGACAAAAATTATTTGTGAGATTTTGCAATGTTCCATTTAGTTTAGATTAAAGTATAACACTTTTTGTGCTGTCAAAAATATGCTTCAGGTTTACATTCATCATATGACTGAATTTAATATTTCTGACCTTTTCATCTGATATTTTAACAGTTTTTTTTTTTCAGGGTGGAGGGATTATATGATAATCAAACATTTACAGTTAAAATGTGAATTTATGCCCTTCTTATTGTTTGGCAAAATGTCCATTGGTGTGTTGCATCTTAACAAAATATTTTTAGATGCCTTTTAAAGCATATGGCATAAGTCTAATTGAATAGTTCACTGCTCTTCTTGTTAATGTTGCAAAAAGTCCCATGCATCAGTTTGCATAATACAAATATTTTTTAAAAGGGTTAAATTTGAGGCTCCTTCCTGCCTTTCCAGGCCAAAACTGGGTTTAATGTGCACATTTTGGGTGAAGTTCTCATTGGAAGATGCTGCCACCACCAGGCTAGAGAATTCTTAGTTTTGAAAACCTCATTGTGGCTCTTTTAATCATTCTTTGTCTGACCATAAAACTTTTTCTCTTAATATGTTTTTATTGTCCAACATGCAGTCAGAAATACTTTTTCAGTTGAGTTTGTTGATGTCACTTTTCCAGCTGCAGGTTTGAGCGTTTGGGGTTCTTGGGTTGCTCTTGACCATCTTAACCCAATTTCCCTTCACCTCATGTGGCAGCCTGGTCCAGATAGCTGAAACATGGACACGGTTTGTTTTGTTTCTAGAGGAAAGTGATGCCAAACAAACAAATACCAAAAATGCAGCGGGGTAATAATGTCAATCTGGAATGACCTTCCCAAAGCTCCCATCTCTGCATTAAAAATTAATGCTAAAAAGCTGGGCCCATGCCAGGAAACAAGCCATTTTAAATAAACCAATTAAAATGAACTTCTGCCAAAATGAGTGGTCAAACCTCCAGACAGAATCATGCCAGAAGCTTGTTGATGGATACTTAAAGAAATCAGTAGTTAAGTTGTTCACTTCTCAAGGGAGATCTACCCAAATATTAATGTGTGTGTACATTCATTCATCTCCGTCTTGATTTCCTATTTTTAAGCTATTGAAAAAACTCAATATTAGGTTTTCAAAGGAATAATTATATTTTAAACCCTCTGAGACAAATTTGTCTGTTTTGCCACAAGCCTTTTGCTTTAGTTATATTTTCTAAGACGAACCAAAAAGATGCAAGAAAAAAATTAGTACATAAAAGTTTAACTTTATGGTAGATTAAATGTGATGTTTGATTTATTTTTGTGAACTCAACCGAATAGTTTTTGGTTACACACAGTATGATTAGCATTTAAAGCTGTTTGTCAGATTACTTTGCTATTTGGAGCAAAGCAATTCAAACTACACTGAATGAAGTCTGGTGACTCATTTTCTCTCTCTCTCTCTGTCAGTGCAGTCAGTTGATGTCTAAGAAAAAGACATATTGGCTGTCGGGGAAATAACTTCCTTTTCAGAGCAACAGTTATTGTTTGAACATGGATAAATGATAATAAAAAAAAGTTAATGTATGGAAAATTGTTGTAGATTTGGAGATTGTCATCTGTCCGATGTTTTTCATCCTTTCCTCCACACAGATGTTGCTCTTGTTTTCAACCACAGACCGCTTGTTCTTCAGCATTAGCTGATGATGTTCAGCCTGGAAAGATAAAATACGTTTCTGATACTTATCTTGCTCCTTGCCTACACACCTTCATACTTTTATGCAGATTGGATGCAAATTTATATGCAGACATATTTATATGCAGATACGTTTATGCTGAGATTAGAGGTACGGCGACAAGCTGCAAAAAACTCCCTGTTTTCTGTCAGATTACGTCACATTTTGCAGAACCCCTTGGCAATCCAGAGCAGAGTGAAAAACGTGTTTAGTGTCAGCTTAAGTCAGATGATTTACAATCTATTTTCATTATCCAGCATGCCAGGTTCATTCTATGGAAAGGTTTAGCTCAAGATGAACCCTCTTAAGTCTGACTTTGGTTTAGCCAGTGTAAATCATACAGTTTAAACCCAATCTGATCATGGTTTTAAAAAAAAGAAAAAGAAAAGCACCCACCATTAATTATTTCATTTTGTTGTGGAAATGAGGGGATCTCCACCAGGTGCTAAAATGATTTAAATCTGATCTCCACACTCACCACAGATTTCACCACATCGTTATTTATTAAACTAAGTGGGATAAAAAATTTAAACATGTAAAAGTACACTCTGAAAAGTCAAAAGCCTCAGAGAAAGGAGGTGTATTAACAAGTGTATGTATTTACCCAAACTGTCAGTGGTTTAAAAAGCTAAACTTACTCTAATCATCATGTTTACTGAGCAATAGTGCCAAAAGGAAATAGAAAACAATGAGGTAAAGATTACTTTTCATTACTAATATAGTTTTTAGGTAGTAGAGAATTATTGTTAGTGATTTTTTTGTAACTTTATGAACTTGTAAAACTAGGGTTTGAGCTTTGGTCTCGCCCACAGGGAGCTGCAGCATCCAGTAAAATCAGCCCTCTGTCTAACCAACATCATAAATGGGGAAAGATAGTTAACATGATAAAGAATTCCCAGTTTCATTTATGGACTCAATAATATGCATGATTAATACCAATTATAGAGTTTTACAAGCACAGAAGTGGGTAGTAACCACTTACTTTTACTGGAGTAATAATATGTTGAATTAGTATTATGCTACCAGTGCACAAAAATGGCAGTGATTTAAGAACATTTTACAGTGTAAATCCAGGCCATGCAGGTTTTAGTCGATATCTCTGATACTTATTTCTAAAACGGCCTGGTTTGATTCTTGGGATTGGCTTGGAGTATTTCCAGTTGTACATTTCTGTTGCCAAGCAGTCCCATGCGCTGCAATTTGATCTGCTAGAAACATTAAAACCCAAACTTTTTTGGGGGGGATATTACTTTCACAGTCCTGATATTGTGCTTTTGGTTCATTAGTTCAGTTTGCAAAACATGGAAATAGAACTAAGCCATCATTATTCATGGTTGTTAATTACACTTGAGGCTTTCCTGGCAGTAAGTTAAGATGGATCCTAAAGCGTCTCTGAAGTGATTCATAATGAAAAGTTGAAACATTTTCACTGTTGAAATGTAGTTTTCCTTTGACAATAAGGTGGATGAGCTGAGACTGATGGTAACGTCGTTTGAAATGTCAACATTTCACTGGTCACAGGAAATGAATTAACTTAGAGCGACTGGTTTCTTTTAGCATCCTTCTCTTTAAACACACTAATTATGAATCTTAATGTACATCTCTTATATATTTGGTGGAATGCTGCCATCAGTTTGAGTTCGTTTGTGTTGAAGGATCTACTGGAGCTTATGGTGTGTTTGTTCGTCCAGTCTTTTTATCCTGTATGTGACTCTTAACTGGCTGTTTACCAATCAAACACTCACATACACACACACACACACACTCATTCTCTTACCAGGCACCTTCACCACGCATGGTTTCACAAGCACAGGCGCTTGAATGCACCACTGCGTTCGTATGCTCTCTGCGCTCTTTGACTAACAATCAACCGTCCTCCAATCTCCTCCTCTTCCTCCCAGGTGTGCCTGACGCTCACTGCCAAGCGAATGGCCAAGAAGAACTGCTTGGTGAAGAACCTGGAGGCCGTAGAGACTCTCGGCTCCACCTCCACCATCTGCTCCGACAAGACGGGCACGCTGACCCAGAACCGCATGACCGTGGCCCACATGTGGTTTGACAATCAGATCCACGAGGCGGACACCACCGAGGACCAGAGTGGTAAGATGGAAACGAGTTCAAACAGGAGAGGAGCAAGAGAGATCTGGAAAAATGACATCAGCATTTTTCTCAGTAAATGTTTCCAAGTGAGCAACATAAAAAGATCGGCAAGCTGGAAATTAGTCTACAAATTAAGTTTTAAAGTATTAAACACGTTTACTCAAATCTAGCAGCTTTATTTTGTTTCTCTGAAGCCAGAATGTTCTCTTGGATCAAAAGTCCACCCTGTTTTCATCTACAAATTCTTGAAAGAAATTTCCGAATCTTTTTCTCCACTCATCCTTTCTTTAATTGTATGAAATTTGCCAGTATAATAAACGTAGAAAATATCTCACACCTTGACGTTCCCACTCCCAAACTTCACTGTTGCTGTTATAGTTTTGGAGTGATCAGTGTTGTAATTTGTCTCAGTTCAGTAGAAGTGAACTCTGGTGCGGTTTGAATGTGTATGTGGATGCCAAGTGTGGAGACCGGTCCAAAAGCAGGAAATGGACTTCAGTGCAAGGCATTCTGGGTAGATACAACCAAAGCAAACACTGAAGTCTAGCGCTAGCTGGAGAAATGTCTTGTGGTCTTTTATCCTACAACTCCTTAACTCTGACGATGCATTTTTGTTTACATTTTGCAAAGAAGAAAGTTGCGCTCATGTTTTCTTCAGAGATTTTTATGTTGTTTCATTCAGTGGTTTTTTTGGTGCAGTGCCCCCACATGGAAGGGGGTGGACAGGGTTTCTTAGGAGTTGGCATTGTTTGACACTTTGCAGTGTGAAAGCAAACTCCAGCAGCTGAAAATGGATCAAATGTTGCTGTTTTGGTTCCCAATCGAACCCAGTCTACCGGACTATCAGGTGAACATGCATTTTCTTCAACAGTGGAGTCTTGTGCAGTGAGTCTGAAAGCAGAAATGTATGTTTTTTTAACTATTTGTTCTTTTCATGGAATAAATAGTTCACGGTCTCTGAGGAGTCCCTTGTTACTGGTCCGTAGCTCTTGATCAGATTTTTAAATGTTTATTCTAACTTCAGTGAGACTCAACTCCAGTTGATGGTGAAATTGTCTTCATTTCTACTCACTGGATTATTGGATTATGGTCTTAACTGTGTTGAAAAAGGTTACCTTGTCACTCAGTAACGTTTTTAAAGGTCATCAATTAGGAGTGAAACTAGTGAGACTGATAGGCTGATAAATATTCTGACATATTTTGGCTGGTTTCTGGAATTTTCATGCCTTGTTGGATCTCTTTTGCATCATTCTATTTATTTATTTAGATTTCTTGAAATGTATCCAAAATCTGCTGTCAGTTTCATTATTGCAAGCATTTTAGAAATAAGTTTACAGAGAAAAATGTTGATGTGTTCCACTGTTAGTTCCCCTGCTGTAAATTAAGGAAGTTCAATTCATAAGAGTGTGAGGGAATGCAGGATGGAGGAAAGGGACCACCTGCCAAAATTCATCTGGCCAATATTTCCACTGCCAGCAAACATGACCGTTCACTCTGCTGGTTTCATTAATTGAGAAGAAGTGTGCAGTGGGTGGCACAACCCACAGCTCTTCCTCGGCAGGACTGCCGCCGCGCAGCCAATCGGATTCCTGCCTCCTACCACTGAAGGATATATCAAGCCAAAATTCATCAAGAAGCCTCCAGCATTAACCAAAAGGTTGGGCAGAAAAGGAGCAGGTGTTCCATGCATAATAATGAGCACTGACTACTCTGTCATCTTTCATTGAGTAGCCAGCGGTTTTGAGAGAAGAAAACGACATGCTGGATTTTGTTTTTGCAACTGCTGCAGATTTTATGAGGCTTCTCCTCCCATGTTTGTCACTCTCAACAACTCCAGCCACAAACTGCCTGTCTGTTTACACTGTAGCACTGACAGTGAGTGCTCCGACATGCAGGCAAATATGAAAAATGAATGCAGCAGACTGCAGGTCATTTTCAATTCAATTGGGTGGCTAGGCCTCAAATTTTCATACAAACTATTTCCTACTAGCTCTTATTTTGGAGACATTCCAGGTAAAAAAAAATGAAGGGGTCTCATTTTCCAGACTGGGGAACTGAAAAATCTTTTCTGTCAAAGAAAAACTGTTTTCTTAACTTAAGTGACCTCGACACGTGTTATTTAGCTGCAATATCCAGTGCCACTGTGTGAACCCAGAGCTGAGTCAGTTGAATAAATACTGAATGAGCTCTGTTTAAATACAGTCTAACGCAGGTCCCTCTCCACTGCTTCCAGGTTCTGGCTTTGACAAGAGCTCTGGTACTTGGGTATCCCTGTCCCGCGTGGCTGGTCTGTGCAACCGAGCCGTTTTCAGATCCGGACAGGAGAACTTACCCATCCTGATGGTACACGCAGTCCACACACACACAGCCTGACACGCGCTATAACACAAGTTTCCAAATGTTCCACATCAAGCTGCAGGCTCATGAATTATCTCGACTCTCTACAGCAGTGGCACACAGCCCATTTGGTTTAATGCAAGGCCATTATGAGCCGGCTTTTTTTATGTAGATCAACTAATGCATGCACATAATTCATGAGACATGATTTTGCCTACTGCTTTGCCAGTAGGGTGAAGTTAACAACATAAGGGAAGCGTCAGGTGAGCTGTCGCTCAGAAAGAAGCCTTGTTAGAATAAGTATTTGATCCCTATAAGTTAAAGAAGTACGGCATAAATATGCAGGTACAATATGAAGACAAGAGTAGACTCTTTTTAACTTCTAAGACTTTTTGAACATTACTGGACTGAAAACTCTTTCATCCAACAGCCAATTTTCTTATTGCTTTCCCTCCAGCTAGTAAATAAAATTAATTTTAGAGAAGGATCAACACATCATGGTACCAATTTCAGTGTTTACAACATTTATAGAAATGAAGCAACAACAAGAAAGTAAGAAAAAAAAAGAAGTCAAATAAAAATTCACCACATGCATTTTCTACCACTGATGTGGAACCTTGAGTCTTTTTCATGAACCATTCTGAATATCTCGCTGTAAATTTTAGTAGTCTTATCCTCTCTTGGCAGGTTTTTCTTGCTGTCATGTACTTTCTATATTCTAGTAATTGATTCTGGTCCTCAGAGGGTTACTAAGAGTTCTAGATGTTTTTTCATAAACCAACCAATGCTTCATTTCCACAAAATATTTCCTCTTGTTATTATTTTGCTGCTGCAGTGATTTTTCACTTTATCAGGTAGTAAATATCCACTGCACTGTAAAACAAATAAGTTTGATTTGCAGCTTCTCAACAGAATAGGAGTAATATCAATACCAATCAATGCTATTTTTACAAATATTATTTGTAACTTTATCTGCAGTGTTACCTCATGAACCTTCACTCCAATTTTTTTTCACAAATTTAGATATCGGACAAAGAGAACATGATTAGGAAACAGTTTTCATGTGATGAGTTCAGTTATTAAGATAATAAGGTAGCACTTTGGCAATATGTAAAAAGAAAATGTAATTCCCGTCTAACCTAATAACACTGTATTTGGATTCTGCGACATTGGAGGGTTTCAAACATTTACAAAGTTATGAGTCAGATTTAAGTCATGATTTATAACAAAACCTTCACTTGTTCTCAGTGAGATGTTGACTTGCTGAACTCTTGTCCTGCTCCATGACCCAAGAGCATTTAATGTAAAGTAACAAATTAATGACTAGACTTTTTCCTTTAGGGCTTTCCGGTAGTATCCACGATTCCATCACTTACATGAAATTTAAGGAAAGCGGCAATAATAAAACAGCCACATACCATCACAATACCACCACCATTATAGACTGTAGGAATAAAATAGTTTGTCTGAAATGTTTTTCTTTTCTTATCTTTTTTTTTACCTGATGTAATATAGTGTGCAAATTCCAATAGTTTGTCAGATTCTGTTCAGTTGGTAGATCACCTCGATGTTTTGAGGAAACTTGAGGAAGGTTATTGTTGTTCCTGTGTGAATTTATCCCATGGAGATTGTTTTTTTTTACCCCCCAATTCCTTTTCTTACTCTGAAACCATGAACTCTGACTTTACCTGAGGGAAGTGAGGCTTTTGTTTTCAGACAGTTTCTAATAGATATTTCTTCATTTTACTAATAAATGAAAACCAGAATCTGAAAACTGCTGCTTGTATTTACTCACTTTTTATTAAAATGTGTTTAATGAACCAAAAACATTTAGATATGAGGAAAAAAAGAGAAAGCAAATCTGTTGGAAGTGTTTTTTATTTTATTTCTAAGCACAAAACTCATGAAATATACACAGCCTATTCATGCATTTTTCAGTGATACTCTGCTGTAGGTGCTAAAATAAATGTCAGACAAAACTCTGGACTCAAGAACCAAACAAGTATTTAAATCTGTTTCTACAGTAACAAACAACATCACTTTGGGCTGAATGGTTTCAGTGCCTTTACTGGTTTACCTCAACCTGAAAACCACTTCAGATCCATGTTGCTGTGTCACTTTAAATGTTTATTTTAGCAAACCGCTGATCCTTCTGTGTTGTAACGTGATTTTTGTTTAAAGATACATAAATAAAAGAGAATTTGATTTGTTCCTTGAAGATATCTCGCCTATCATCTCAACCTGCAGAAGAGGATTAAAAAAAAATTCTGACTTTAATCTCAGAATTCTTTAAACTTTAATTTTCTGTGATCAAAAGTCAGAATATTCACCTGAGCTTTTCAAAATAATAATAGTAATAAAAAACAAGTAACAAGGTAGAATTTCTTCTACATGTTTAAATATACTGAGAGGTTGAATTATTCAAAAATTATCTGTAGGAGATACTGAGAAAAAAAAAACATAAATATGCATGTTAGTTTGGAAGGTGCTTTTCTTGACAGACCAACAGTAAGAAAAGTAGTTCCACCTAACAAAAGTTGCAGTGCACACTTACACACTTAACCTCACGTGTAAACACACACAGAGAATCATTCAGTACGCCCTGAGAAATAACTCACCCACACCGACAAAGAAACACACACTGCTGAGTAGGTAAGTCAATATTATCCCAATGTTCTAACAGCCGCTTTCCTCCAGCCTGAGCTTCACTGACCTGAAGGAATTCTCAGTGTGGCTCGCAGTTATTGGATTACAACTTCTTCTGTGTGAGGACAAACGCCTCTGCTGAAGCCTGTCTGTCCCTGGTGGTGCCCGGCTTCCTCCCGGCGCAGAGTAACAGATGTGTCTCCTGACAGCAGTCAAACACAGCAGTGCAGGCGCCGGCACCGTTACTAAAACAAGTCCCCATCTGCACTTGTGAAGACAGAGAAATGGAATTTCCCTTGATCTATTTATTCATTCATGAAAAGGCATAAACAAGGACAAATCTCGCGGAGCGCTCGTCCTTGTTTCACGGCTGTTCATGAATGAATAAACAGAAACAAAGAGAAATTTCTTGTCCCCGTCAAGCTCCCTCTTGGGCGTTTGGGGGGTCAGGTCATCACTTTTGCTCTGATTTTAATAATCCAGCGTCAAGGATTCCTATTATCCTGATGGAATTTTCATAAAAGCCGATATGAGTGGTTTATCAAAAGAGAGTTAGCTAAAAATTGGTGACAAAACTCTAATTCAACCTTGTCACAAAAACACAAAAAATAAAAGCAATGAATCCATTAAGTGTTTTGTGAAATAGTATGTCTTGACATTGGTGTTTGTGTGACTCACTGCGGGGATGTTGGTGCAAGTAGATAACATTTATAACACTTTCTTAAAAAGAATCATTTTTGTGGGTAACAAAACGATGTTACTCAGATTAATTTTAGCCTTGTGGAAATAAAACGCTTGGTACTGCTGCTTGCCTCTACAGTGCCCTGCTGGTATTTATAACATCTGAAATCTGAATGGTGCATAATGGAGAGGTGAAAGTAAAAATGATACTTGGGTTTTCAAAATTCTGGAAAGTACGGCAGGCATTTCTATTCAGCCCTCTTGTGTCAATAACTCATAAAGCTGCCCTTCACAATAATTACAGCTGTGAGTTTTCAGGTATGTCCAGACTAAAACATTTAGATTGAATTTAACAATGTTTTAAGTCCTGCCACAGATTCTTAATTGGATTTAAGTCTGGAAGTTAGTTGCAGTAACTCTAAAGCACTAAAAGGATCAATTAGCTCCACTTTAATTCACCTGAAACTTTATTTGCTTTATCAACTTTATTCACCTGAAACATTACAAAGCAGGCAAGTAAATTAGCCTGTTGTAAATTAATTTTTGAAAATATTAATTTATGGGAAGCTAATTGTCCTAAATGTTTTCACAATTAGCTAAAGCGCTAAATGAAAAAAATTGTCACTATTAGCAGATTAAAAAGGTAAAGTGATAAAAATTAGAAATGATCTCCATGTGCTATTTTCCTTCCAAATCACAGTTATTGACTACTTTTTGTTGATATATCACAAAAAGACCCTCCAAATAAAACATGTATGTCTGTTTGTGGTTGTAACGTGTCAAAATGTGAAAATGTTAAAGGAGTGTACTTTAGTGAGGCATGATGTTTGGAGGACTGGGTCAAAAGAACAACTGATGGGATTCTAGTCCCTTCAGGTCACGACGGTTAATAACTCAGCTGTTTGTAATAATGATCTGACTCATTACTCAAGCAGCATTTATCCATCATCGGAACCTATTAAAACCAAGCCTTTCTAATATCCAAAATATTAAAAACTGAGCTTGAGAGAGAGAGACATAAAATATCATGCATTATGTTTTATCTGTGAACTTTTTTTAGTCAGTTTATTATTTTGTCTGTATTTTCAGATCTAGGTTTATTGCGAACGTTTTGCTATATCTTTAAAAACAAGCCTGTGGCCAAATCGTTGTTGTCGACGTAGCTTCGCCGCCTGCATCGCTGATGAGAGCCATAATGGAAATGAGCAAAGTTTTCAAAGGTGTCTCATTTAAGCCATTAAATAAGACACTATGAAAAGTTTCCCTCTGCTGCTTTGCCATAAACACAAACCGTGAGTCATTTTTTAATATGCGGATATGAGTGACTGCGCTAATGTGATCCTGTGTGTTCCCCCAGAGGGACACAGCGGGGGACGCGTCAGAGTCAGCCCTGCTGAAATGCATCGAGCTGTGTTCAGGCAGTGTTCGTGACATGAGAGCCAGAAATCCCAAAGTGGGTGAGATCCCCTTCAACTCCACCAACAAGTACCAGGTAAACATCAACGGCGATTCAAGGATTTCTGCAGGGAAATCCCGTTGGCAGTTTGATACTTTGGACTTTGCATTGTATTTAAATTTTAGGTAAATTGAGAATACAATTTACCTAAAATCTAAACTTTAAAACACAAAAAAACATTCAAGATCCTCCTCCACCAAACCTACCCCAACTCTTTAACTCTAAAAGTTATTAAAATTGATCCCTTTCTTAAATCTGGCACATACTATTATATATTTTTAAAATAGACTAATCCGTCTTTTGCGAAAACTTATTTGTTTGCATTTGTAATACTTCCACAGGTGTATTTCTGAAATGTAAATTTTTGAAAATATTTTCCAAAAAATTGTGAAATGTGGGTTTGTATGGAAGAGGAGAATTTTTAAAAAATAAAAGAAGAAGAATTCTGACTTTGATCTCAAAACCCTGAGATCCTGACAATTAAAAATGTCAGATTTCTGACAATTATAAGAAAAAAGTCAAATTGAGATTAAAGTCAGAATTCTGATATTAAAATCAGTTTCTGATATCCTGATAATCCTGAGAAAATAGTTCAGATTTTGAGATTGAAATGATAATTCTGAGTAAAAAAGTCAAATTCTTCTTTTCTTTTTCGGTGGCCTTAATCCTTCATCCAAATTCTGAGTGCAGATACAGACGAAAATTAATACAAAGGAAAATTATCCAAAAATAAGAAGAGCAATGCAACTTTGCTAAAAATCAAAGTGCTGCAGACGAACAATACAAACTGAAAAGTTCATTGATTATTTTCCGTCGCGTCTCATCAGGGTTGTTTTATAACTAATAAGTTCTTGGGTTATTAGTTGCTTATTTCAAACAGGAGCCCATTGCAGTCTTTATATACGGTAGAAAGCCTCACTGAGATCCGTCCTGGCTGAAGTTTATTGTCTTAATTCAGTGTGAACGATTCCCTCAGGAATCACACAACTTGCAAAAGTGATGAGAAAGAAACTCTGTTCCCTGGAAGCCCATCCCTCCATTTTCTATCCAGACTCATCAGTACAGGCTTATTTTACATTAAAATATAAAAACTCACCTTATTAGTAACCAATCAAGTAGCTTCTTTAAACCTGCACAGCTGTAGTTTTAAAATTTTATATTTCAAAACGTATGAAACAAGAAATGAAATCAAATGCTTTATCTTAAAAAATCACTTTCGTCTGACATCAGTTTTTTCAAAAACATTAATCACTTGTAATTTTTTGTGTGTTTTGTAGTATAATGCATTTATTCACTTCTAACAACATTTTTATTTTAATTTTTATTACTTTAATGAAGATTAGAATAAGTTTGACCAAATACTCAATTATGTGACATGTTAAATTCAAGCAGGGTAGCAAATAGTCAATAATATATTGAATAAAGTAAACACAATGACTTTTTTATGTTTTGCTCAAGGGCATGGTAGCAATTACAGCTCATGTCTGTCACTGCACCAATAACCAGAGCACCAGAAGATCTGAGCCAGCGTGTGAACAGCAGCGATGTCTCACCAAAGGAAGGACTTCCTGCATGCTTTATTACACCTGTTGTCAGACTGCAGATAAGAAGTGTTAGGAAGGAGCAAAATCTGTTGTGACTCAGATACAAATGATCTGGGGGACTGTGCGGTGGGTCCTGTTGGAGAAAAGGTAATAGGAAGGTATATCACAACAACAACACATGTGAGAGTCTGATTGAACAGACGCAGCGTGAACAGAGGAGACTTTCAATGTTCGTTCTGTCAAGTCAGCTTCAATGTCACTTTCATTTAAATCAGGTGGAAGACTGCCACACCAGCTCCCCAACAGGAAAAGGGAGATGTCTGACTAGAGCTGTTTCTCTCTGAAACATCACATCGTTATCCTTATCTTTCCTTAAGCTCTCCATCCACGAAGTGGAGGACAATCCCTCTGGTCATCTTCTGGTGATGAAGGGAGCGCCGGAGAGAATCCTGGACAGGTTTGCTTACCAATAATTTAATAGCAATGGAAATAGTGTTTTGCTTACCATTTCGTTGTGCATGGCAGATACTTGATAATTTTCATTTCTTGTGTAGGCGAACAAATAAATAAATAAATAAATAAAAAGCAATGCCTGTAAAAATGCACCTTCATACATAGAAGTCACTGGAGCTTTAAACTTCCAGTGTTGTCTTAACGTATTAAAACAAGGCCAGGCGGCTCCTCTGTTGAATACAGTGACACAGTCCTTCATCAGCATTGACACACACTCCGCAGTTTTTTCAGATTTAATCTTACACACACCATCCGGGCCGCTGTAAAGTGTCACAGCAGCAACAGATGTAAATTAATCTGCTGGTGGAAGTAATCCACAGCAAATGCAACACGCCCTCATACTAAAGTGAAATATCACCCCACCTCCTACAGCCTGGGCTGCTGCCGAGCTGGAATTAGGATGCACAGGTCCAACCAGCAGCTGTCTGTCACTAATCTAAGACAAAATACAGACACCAATCTTCATAAATGAGTTTCTCATATCACTTTGAATTATTGTTATGCTACAGAGTGTTTTAAAACTCGTTCGAATTAAAAGTTTAAACCAAATTTACACTCACTAATGAGAAATTGACAGTGACTGACTAACCCTTAAGATATTTACTAATTATTATCCAAACATTATACCTATTGATTTGATCAGTCAGTACTGAGATGACCATTAAATAAACAGTTTCTTTTTTTCTTTTCTGTCTTTTTTGCATTACATTTTAACTAGTTCATGGTCAATTAACCATTATCCTAATGTTTGCTATTCAACAACATATGATCAAATTAAATGGCCAAAAGTAATAATTAACATTTACGTTAAATCTAATCAAGCAGTAGTTAATTAACTGTTAACTTAACAATGTCTATTTAATTAATTATCACCATGCCATACTCCAGAGGACCCCTGCTATTTGAGCCCCCCTCTAAAAATGTTTATAACTGCTTATTTTGATTATCCAAATACTGAATATACATTAAAATGCATTAATATGCACAAAAGGCAAATGCAAATTCACAGCATGTCAAGTACTAAGTAAATAAATAGATCAATAAAATAAATAAATGTTTCAATAATTTACTTGATAGACAGTTTATTTGTTATACGATATTAAATGATTAAAATGCAGACTTATATATGGTCCAGTGTGTCCAGATGCATAAAAAGCATTGAAATCACATTTGATCGAAGTTTCACAAACTGGGACGTAAACTAGTGGAGTTCAGCAGATCAGCGACTTTGATGGACGAGTTTGACAGAAAAAAATGATTTTATAGTGAAGCTGCAGGAACAGGAACCATAAAATAATTAAATACACATTTAATTATTCATCTGCACCGGCTATTACAAGTTTGAATTTTAACAGTTTAATGACATATTTAATAAATCAACTGCCTACTGAATAAATTATCTAAACTTTTATTAAACATTTATTTCATGCTGCATTTAAGTAACCATGTCATTTACTTAGTTCTGTCCCTTCTTGGAAACTTCATTGTCAGGTAGAATCTGGATATTTCAGCTTACCAAGTTACAATAACACTCTATTAGAAATAAAAACTGAGAATAGTGACGTTTTCACCAAATAAATCTTCCAGTAGGTAAAGCATAAATACTGAACTGTGGATAGATGGGCTCCACTGTATTAGCTATTTAAATAATGCAGAATATTGGTGGCAATTAACTAACCAAGTATAATAATTAACTATTTCACACATTGTTTCATCATTAGGTCATATATCTTTGACATTTTTAGTCTTATATAATAACAAAAAGAAGATTGCATACTATAAATTGTTAGTTATAAAAACACAGTGTTTTAGAATGTAAAAAATTGTAATGTAAATAATTTCTGAAGGTGTACATTCCCATTTTAACGCCGTCTGAAAAATAGTTGACACATTTTTCCCAACTGGACTTTTCTGTACATGGGAGTGGCGCTAAGTCTGCCGTTAAATGTTGCAGGTGCAGCACCATCATGATGCACGGCCAGGAGGAACCCCTTGATGAAAACTGGAGAGATGCCTTTCAGAACGCCTACCTGGAGCTGGGCGGACTGGGAGAAAGAGTGCTGGGTGTGTGCTGCATGGCATGAGTGGATGTGTGTCTGGTAATAGGTGGAGAGGAGCAGCAGTTGGACACAGCACTTACTTTTTATTATCTTCTTGGTAAACAGGGTAGTTTGCTGAAAATGTCCCCATAAAAGTGCAGGCTGCTATCCTTGCAACAAAGAAAATGGCACTGCAGTCTGGCACAGAAAACCAGCAGGAAACAGGACAAAAATGACCTGCGTTTATAAAACTTCCTTCCAGATCCGTTAGTGAAATGTTTTTTTTTGCAGATTTACTATGAAGTTTTGGAAGAGCTGCACTAGAAATTGGGTTATGTAAGTCAACCCGGGTCAAATCCAAGTCTAAAATATAACATAATGTTGTAAAATTATATTTTCTCTTGTAAAATGTCAGACACCTTTTTGGGTAAAAAGTCATTACCTTAACTGTCTCCAACATGTTCTCTGCTCTGACTCAGTAAATGTCAGCATTGTGACAGCAGAGGAGAAACCTTGGCGAATCTTTTAAAAAGTGCCATAGGTAATAATTATGTGCTATCATCATTTTGTAAGAGTAGATGTCACCGCAGCTGAATGTGGAACGTTGCCTCTTTTAGAGCAAGACTCTGGGAATCGTAAATTATTGTGTCTTGGTAATGCCTGGGGTGATGATGATCATGGGTTTTTGTGTTTCAAGACAAAAAAAGAAACCATGTTTCCTACATCCTTGGGCTGGATCTGGCTTCACATCAGAACCACTTTGTTTTGCCTTGACGTTTTGGGGAAATGAGATGGTAATTGGAAAAGATTGTATTTTTATAATCATAGTCATTTCTAATACAAATGGGCAACTTTACAACTTTCACTTCCACAGCAAAAATTAAAGTTTTTTTTGTTTGCTTCTTAAAATTTTTTACATAATTTATGTAAAAAATTAGGATCATATTTTATCAATAAAACCTGCTTTTCTAAGGTCATTGTAGATTGGAGAGGGGCGTCTCCTCATCATGGTTGGTTGGTTTCCACCTGCGGGTGGGTCAGATGATGAAACATGATTGGTTAAAGTTTGAGGAAATTGACTTTGGAATAAGCAGAGAACAGACTGGAACTTACGGAGCTTTCAACTCTCCATCCTTTCACATTAATTTAAGAAGTTTTTTGCCAAATGATTTAAGGAAATCCTTGCCTTTTCTAATATATACAATAACAAGAGCAATTGTAAAAGTGCCAAAAAAAGATTTTTCAGTCCTTTTCATTTCCAATTTAATTTTGGAAATGTGGAATTGATTCTTCAGGTAGATTTTTTTTTGTATTGATCATAAAACCAATATTAAAATTGGTAATTTTCTTAGCGCTTCTGGAGAAAATAAGAGTGACGGCAGCCATAAAAATAGTCTCTTTTACAGGAAGACTTTTCTTTTTTTTTTTTTTTTTTAAAGAGCTGCAGTAAATTCAGTCCATGATGTGCAATCAGCTCCCTGATCCCCCTTCTCCTGCAGGATTCTGCCACTTGAATCTGTCTCCATCCCAGTTTCCTCGAGGATTCACCTTCGACTGCGACTACACAAACTTCCCCACGGAGCAGCTCTGCTTTCTGGGTCTCATCTCCATGATTGATCCGCCGCGTGCCGCTGTGCCCGACGCTGTGGGTAAATGCCGCTCCGCTGGCATCAAGGTAATTGGTTGCACCGTTTTCAGCTGTCAATTTTGTTCCTGAGAAGCCCTTTCCTGTGGCTTTAGATATCAAGCTTTTTAGAAAGGAATACTGCACATTAAATGTCTTTTCACATCACAGCGTGTACTTCAAATGACAAGAGATCGCCTCCAGGGCCACGATCGATGATGACCTGTGGACAAACAAAGTTCGTTGTACAGAAAAAGCTCATGCCATAACAGTGGCATTAAAATGCTTCTGCCCATTTTTCCTTCTTTAGAGAACAAACCATAGGAAAAAAATCTTAGTTTTTAGGAGGGCAATGAGTGAGATGAGGTTTAGAAATTACAAAATAACCAAATATGTATTTTCTCATGTACAAATTAAAAGCATGAAAGGTAATAAAGAAAAGGTATCAGTTTATTACGAAAGCAGTTTGTCAAAATCTATATCTGGTAAAGTGCAGATTAATGGCATTTTTAATCAGCAGCAAATGCACACAGAGGAAATGCTTT